TGAATACTATAGTCAGTGGTTTCCAGTGTTAAAATTCACGATTAAATATTTCCCCTGACCAATCATATGTACAGATTTAGATTAACTAGGTGTCTATCTTGAGGCAGTATTTTTTCTCAAAAACATTTACGTAGGTATATTGCAAATCATTTTCGATAGATAAGAGTGATAATAATGAAGATTTCCATTTAGAACGTATGTGACTTACAGATGAGGGAATTTTATTTCTTGTTATGAATTAAACGCATTCAACTGATGATGCTATCTAGGTATAAAGTTACATCTACCAATATATACGTATATGAGGTATTGGATAAGAAAATTCCAGCCATTGGTATTTTCCTTGATTTGTCCAGGGCGTTTGATACTGCGGTGTGTCACCAAAGCATATTACACAAATTATACATACCTAAATATGGAATTAGACTGAAATTTATAACTACCACATAAAAGGCGTTCATGTATTACAGAATTGGATTCTACGGATAATTTATGGAAAAATTTACTTTATGCTTGTGAATCCTTATACAAGAAATCAGATGTCATAGATCTACGACAACTTTACTGCAACAAGATCCTCCAGTTAATTAAAAAAATCCAAAGTTACTTTGTTACCCGCGACATGCACTCTTATTATACACGTATGAAGACCATTACTTTTTCCAAGGAAAAAACAATCTGTAAACGATGTGCTCATTGCGTTGCTCCAAGGCTTTATTCCATTCTACAGTGCGAAATAAAAAGCACACCTATGTCTATCAATCCCAGTTTCAAGAAAAAAGGTGTGGATACTGGAACAGGGACGTGTACTATTCGGCAAGGTTGTAAATGGAATTGTTTAGTTTAGTATATTATTTCCAGTTTTTATTTGGTGAAATGAAGTAACAATATTTCATAGTAATAATAATATTATTGAAATATTTGTATTCGCGCGAGATTGCGTTGCCGGTACAGAAAATAATCCTTACGACGTTAACTTGTTGAAAACCCCAGTATAATATACTCATACTTGTAATCTGAAAAATTGAAATTGACCAGGTAGTGATTTTTATTGACATTTCCCACATATAGTTCACCTATTTCCTACATTTTCAATGATGGTGAGATACGAGGGCGTACAGATTTTGTTAAAAAAAACACGTATTACTATCAGGGTGACCAGAATAGTGCAATAAAAAAAAATGCGATAAAAAGAAATAATTTTTAGCTTATTTGGAAAATACATTAAACCATCCACAATAAATCTAATTAACCTAAAAAACGTAATCATTAAAATTGCTTCTTACTTTACACTGTTTCAAATTAGAAAAACCAGTTATGGTTCTAAAATCATTTAGGTATTACTTACTTATGTTGAAAAACTCCATATTGTTTTTCCTACAACAGTTTTGTACAATAATTCTAAGAAATGCTCGAGTTGGTTTTCCTGATTATCACCTTTATCTTACACGTAAACGTAATTGTAGGAAAGTAGGTATATCTTACTTGATACTTCTTTCGCATCATATAAATGCGATCCTTGAATATGAATATCCCTGTCAATTGTTACCTATACATGCAAAAAATCTAGACCGCTTTGATGTTTCCTCGTTAACCTCACATAAATCTCCCAAAAAATACGAAATCCGTTATTATAGCAATGAATTAATAATTACTATGCATGAAAAATTAAAATAATGTGTTCATAATATCAGCAATTTAGTTTATTTTAGTTACATTATCTGAACTTTAGGCTACCAACCGTACCCCCCTTCATCTTAAAGTATACTACACATCAAAGAATACTACGATACCTGTGACGATACTACCCGTTGTGCACATTTTAATTTTGGGTTCAAGCCAGACTTGATGTCTTTTTAGACAAAGTCTTAGGGGTGTTTAAATAAGGTACGGTACAAGGACGATGCCCATTTCAAATCCCAGCAAACGACGGGAGCGAGGTTTTAATGGACAGAGTCCTGTAAACTATAAAACACCGTGTTATCTTCAAGATTTTTTATAACACCATTAAAAGTAAATAATTACTTTATTTTATATTTTATTAATTATATTCAATGAAGCACTGAAGTTTATGTTATCCGAATTCGTCTTTAATAAATATTTCATCATGAAAGAAAAACGTTTCTCAAGGATGGCGTACGTAGTAACCATTGTAATAGAATTAACAAAATTAGATACGAAAAATTAAACAGTTAAGGAGTTCCTGGCCAAACACAAAAAACAAAATAATATCGCTGCCCCACCCTCCCTAAGTCCCTACAATCCTGACTTCGCCCCAGCATACTTCTTTTTGTTCCCTCAGGATAAGGCAGCCCTGATTATTTATTTTTCAGTAGATAAATGTTAATGAAAGACAAGTGTTACAATGCGACCTATTGTAATACGACTATCTTGTGGCACGAGTGGCGACGCGAAGCGTAGCCACGAGTGGCCGCAAGATAGGAGTATTACAATAGGTCGCATTGTAACACGCGTTTTTCATACTATTTTTTCTATTTCGGTGCTTTAATTTAATTAAAAAAATCATTATCAGAAACTATAGGGAACATTAGAACTAACATGTTTAATGTTGGGAACACTTTTTATGCCGTTAAGTTTTAGGTTGGCAGCGTAGTAAGACTGACATTTTGAAGTTCAAACATGGAAGTACCCAACGAAGTACCTACTTGTACTAAATAGTAACTGCCAACTTAAGAGATGAGTTACCAAAAAAAAACGACTATAATCACTGTCTTTGTACAACTGTTTTCGGCCCAAAACAGTTGTACAAAATCATCATTGTGACACCGAAATAGAAAAACATGTTTGTTGCCGTGTTTGTGGACACATTGTGTGTTGCCTACCTTATGTACACAATTGACTATAAAATTAAAATAGATATAGATGTAGCATAAATTAAGAAGGAGACATAGGGATTTATGTGTATTGTTTTTTCCCTATACTACTTTTACATGACAAAATCTCTGCTGAAGGGCGACTAATTTTATGCAACGAAAATAACTTCTTAAAACAAATAAAGACCTGGATGTCATATTGAATTTGAATATGGTTGCTTTGACTTCCGTATTTTTATTTTCAGTGGTTCAGTGATTTTTAATGATCCATCTTGTTGATGGGTTACCTCACAATGAGGTCGAAACGATCAGTACTACTACCATTCCCTCATGAAATGCGTAAATTAAACGTTTTGAATGTTCTAGATTCTAGAAAATTAGAAAACTTTGATTTTTTGCTTAATTTAATAAAAAAAAAAGGAATTACCATAGAGGAATTGTATTCAGAGCTTTATAATGATTTCTATGACTTCTACCATACAATAAAGTTTGTTATTATACACGACGATGAGTAATAATAAACAGAGTACTGAAAACCGAATTAGAAAATTCTAAACAGTTCGCGAGTTATCATATACCTACACAGGAAGGAATACCTGATTAAATTTTTAGTGCTGCTGTATAATTGATATTTATTGCACAATGGGGAAAACACCTTCATTTTTCCGGATATTTTAGAAATATAGATCGTCATCGGGGCGCCATCAAGTAGATAGAGGATTAATCACCGGCAAAAAGGAACGATGGCGGATGTGACGTATTTTTTCGGGGAAATAAGACGTGTTTATTTGAGAATGCTCTAGAAAGTTTTTGTTTGTCATAAATACATCACGTAATTAAATTTTCGTTACAATACGTAATTATTAATAATTGTAGTAGATTATGTAATTCATTTGCCTTTATTAAAGCTCTGACTGAACCACACGTATTCAACTTTAGATATACTGTTCCAGAAACATAATTAATTAATATTGTATTGCAATTGCAATTTGCAATTTTGATAGAAAATCAAAAAATGCAAACACGCATGCATTTAGATAGCTAGGGAGAAGTTTAATGGAAGGTTTACCTGACTTTTAACATCCCACACCCTCCAACCCCAGCTACACCCACTGTAAAATGCACCTCTACCGAGTGACACATTAGGCAGAAATGGCCACACTCTCAAATTTGGGTGGTGTGGTTATAAATTAATGTAATAATAATAAAATAGTAAAATTTAGCATGTGTTATTCAGTCTTATACTTTCTTGAAAGTGCAAGTTGTCTTCATGTAGCAGCATGTCTCATTGTAGTCCACTTGACTCTCCAAAGATTGTGCGATCAGAAAGTATCAATCCGTTAGATTTTGATCAAATTCCCATCCTTCTGGAAATATCGGCTCTAAAATTTCATGTAAGAACACCTGCCCAATCATTGATTTTCTGTGGAAATTGGGTGCGATCTTCTTGAAACTAGTGTGGATATTCGTCACCCAGTATTATGTTTATTCACAAATCCGTTCAAGAGAGAAGCAAATTTGTCTTCATCGATTTTTTGGGACATATTAACTGACAGACATCAATTCTCCAATCGTAATCATCTTCGCCCAATTTTTTTTTAAACCTGTACCTTGTATGGGAAAAATTTTCTTTCTCAGAATTTTATGAACTGATCCATTAGTCAATTTTGCGACTGTTGAAATTGATGACCTCAGCTCATCAAAAATTCTTGGCTGTGTAACTTTTTTATTGCACACTGATCTCATGTCCTGAAACGTATGGGGAGGCGTTTAGAAAATTTAAAAGAGAATTAAATAAGATAGGAAGTTTTCAACAGAGGTAAATTTAATTACGTACGTTATGTAAAATTTGAGGTAAATATTCTTGATTTCCTTGCAACATTGCCGATTGTTAAATTATCCATATATAGCAAACATATCAAAATGAATGTCCTCAATAAAAAGCATGTCATTCCTAAGAAAGTGGTTCTACTGTTATTCAGACACATCGATTGGGACTTTTTAGCATTCGATTTTTTTACTGGTTTCATTCCCTGTTCTGCCCCAATGAGCAATTCTTTAGGCTTCAAGAGTTTCAGGTCAATAAAAATAAGTCAGAGCCATCAATAACAAAATCCCATCTGATCATCTAGAAACTAGCGCAGAAAAAAATTTTCGCAGTACCGATTGTCTTTGATCAAACAAGTTTATTTGCTAACTTAGTATTTAAAATCTGTATGAATATAACACGTATAATTCGAAATTTACTTTCTCTTTGCATCATCTCCTTCATCATCGTCCTTTTCGTATCCGTACTTGTCCCTAAATATACCCTTTGGATCGTATATTTCGAGAAGTTCGTTAAAGTCGTCCCTATAGAATTGCAATATGTGGGTTAGGACCTTTCCTGCTTGCCGTTTTTGTATATCACTGCATTTAATGCAGTCTGTCAACAAGGCGTCCGGTAAGTAATCTGAAAATTAAGAAAGTAATCAATATTGGATTTTTCCTAAGAGCTTAATTTAATTAGCGTACACTGTCAGTTTTCTATTTCCATTATTCACTTCATCGTTATTATCAATGCCTGTTCGTTAAAAAAGAAGTAAGTGATATAAAAAATCAAATCACCAAGAAATGTATGGTATAAATGCGACTACATTTTATACAAGGGAATTCATGTTTCAAAAATTTCAACCCCTGAAACGGAAGAATGGTGAACACCGACCGAATCATTTTAGACGTTTATTCGAAGAAAAACCGCATGTCGAACAGACCGTTTAAACAAAATTTGACATTTTCAGTTTTTCGGTGATATATCAAGTATTTTCAAAGATCTTTCAAACCTCAAATACATAGATTCATGCATCCTTCTGTGCCATAAGTTTGCACCCATTTTATACTGATTTGTACTGTAAGCAGCACATTTTGTACCACCACCTCAAAACCGCTAGGACCAAACATATTTTGGAGTGGAACTTAACGCCACAACCCAAATGTAGAGATCTCCACAACCTTGCGCCAAGATTTTGTACCGATTCATACAGTAAGCACCGAATTTAGTACTACTACTTGGAACAAAAGCATAAAAATTTGTATGGATCTGTGTACTTGGTGGCGTTAGATGTTAAAAGGTATATCAAATTACCGGATCTCGTAAAAAAAGTAAAAAAAAAGCTAAATTGCGAAAAGGAGCTAACTATACAATGAGGTAGTAAATATGAAAATTACGTACAATTTTTCCTATATTTTTCTTTTAATGTATGTTTAATACGTTCAGTAAATGATGACAGACTTTTTGTATAAAAGTACAAACTACACCGTAATCAATTAAGTAGTTGAAATCCAATTATAACAAGCGATTAAACAAGTTTGCACTTATATACGCTATAACGCCCTTCGGGGTATAATTAAATGTCGTACCATTCGAACATATTCAAACTTTTTGATTGCGAGGTATACCTACTTTGAGTTTATCCACATTACTTACATAATAACACATTGTACACTAATGGCACTTATCCCAAAAATTCGTTAATATTTACCTAAAAAATCGTCCATACTTTGCGCAAGTACGAAAATACAAATGCTATAAAATTAGTCGCAATAAGTGGTAATTAATTAATTCTCACCTTTCAATAATCGCCCTTCTTTTGTACACGCTCCCTTATTTTGTAAGCACTTAATGTAGCTCTTCATCAACCGTTCACTTGCAAGAACTCTGTCTACATCAAAATCATCGTAAGTAGTTGGATAACGTTCTTCATCCCCTCTTTTACTTCTCGCAAGAAATTCATTTGCCGCAGCAACCCTTAGACGGTCTGTTATAAGCACGAATGTAGCAAGAGCGCAGACGACAGGTAGATTCACTTTCATGATTACTATCGTAGGAATATTTTGCTGTATTGTGCCTGAACTAACAATGATGTTACTTAATAATTCTGAACACGTACCTTGGACTATGCGCGAAATCTTGTAAATTATTTCGTTAAAAACTCAAGGTGGGCAGCTTGAATTAATTCCAGTAGCACATCGCACTATTTCGCAAATGTTTTCCAGGTACTTGTGGACGTTAATGGAGCCCTGTTGTTGCAATCCTTGATAGTCTACTTATTTATCAATCTATTGCTCGTTATAGCTCAGTTATAAACGGTTGTAGTTATTATGAATAATGGTAAGTAATTACCTTTGCTGATCAAGTCCAGTCATAAGAGTTATAATGTTGCAAAGTAATTTCTTTCTTTTTTGAATTTTTAGGATCCCGTGGTAGGTGTGAAGATTCAAAACAGTACAGGCAGGAGCACACTTATCGCTGGCGAAAGTGTACATTTCGATATTGTAGTTTGCTTGGTACTCAGATTTGGATTCACAAATATTACAATGAACCAGATAAATGATACCAATTTCCCATAGTTATCCTTTATAATTAAATTTGTAACAGGACACAAACAAAATCAAGCACTTCTGCAAAGAGGAGCCTTACAGGTTAGAGGGGACGAGTCTATCCCCTAAAGTTGAGGGTAAAATCGCAACTTCTGCCGTTAGTTGTGGAAAGGGTTAGAAAACTCATGCTAAAAGGAACACCCAAATATCTTGAGATAAGTAGAGGTGAGTCGGGGTGAATATCGGGGTATAAGATACACTAGCAAAAATGAAGCAAAAGGGAAAAGTAGTAAAAGTAAACCGGATACTTGGTCATAGAACATAAACAATAATTTTTTTTACAGGAATTTGAGTAATTTATTTAGGAAAATACTTATTTAAATAATTGTTGTCACGATCGAGGGTGATTTAATAAATGATCTCCAAAATAGCCGTCGAAAATAAAAAAATTACCTTTTGAACTTTCTGCCAATCTGTAACAGATAACAACACAAACGAATAAGAGGGGCACTGAATAGCGCGGCACATAAAATATTGCGAAAGTAATGATATCGTCTGACACTTGGGCAATCGAATACTAAACCGTAATTAATACTCAATAAAAATCAATAATTCAATTTATGTTAACCGACTACTCGTACAATCAGGTATAAAAGCATAAACGTGACGTTAAATTCAAGTAAACTACTTTACGATGCACAAATAACTAAATTTCTATACAATTGCAATGCAATCTAACCAATTCAAAATGTAAATTAGGTAGTATGAACAAATTCTTCCGAGTAAATCAAGTAACGTAACTAGAAATTGTAGACTCGGACCAAGTCTCGGTAACTTCAAAAACTAATTTAATGATTAGACGAACGGCGACGATGAATAGCATTTTAATAGATATGGATACGAGGTATGTAAATTAAGTTAGTGAGAATGGTCCTGTAATATGTTTCTATGGCAATCCTGGACGTGCCAAACTTGGAGGTACGGTATGTAGTCAGGTCATAGGCGTACAATACAAGTTTGAACTCTGTAGGGTCATGTGATTGTCTATAATCTTGTTTTAGTCAGTTTTTGCAGTTCGTTTTAAAAATGGTTTTAAAAAATCTTCCAGAAGAGCAAAAGGTCATGACAAAAAAACTGTGTTGCTTCTTTGGCATCGATTGAAAATGACTTGCATTTCTTAGAACGTGTGACTGGTGACAAAAGTTTTGTGTTTGAAAATGATCCAGAAATCAAACACCAGAGCATGGAATGGCACACTTGGTCCAGATATCAAGATCAAATGGAATTTTTGCCTAATAAACAAATTTCTTAGCAAGTATTTGATTAAAAAGATGTTTGAATCTACCGAATCACAGCCATCGGTCCTAAAGCAAGTTAACTTAGATACCTTCCTTACTATAATATCACTTCTCTCTGCTCTTTGGGCCTCTATTTCCTATTGTGCCCTATGTGTAACCCACAAATGTGTGGGTTGACTAGGTAAAGGATCCTTAGCCGAACCAATGCCCACCCGGGTTTCATTACAAATGCCTGGCCTTTTTCGTTTTAGTGCAATGATTTAGTAAAAGAGAAAAATTGTAGATAAATAAAATCTAATGGTTAAGTTACACCGCTTGCTCACACCATAACCATCTTCTACATTCAGTCCCCCAGGGCTATGACAGCCCCTCCGTTGTTTAGTCGCCTTTTACGACACGCAGTGTTTCTGCGGTAGGGTTATTCTTCCCCGACCCTACACGGGTAAATATCATACCAAAATAAACTAGCACAGGTACTACCCGCGTTCTGCTCAAAAGCTTTTCAGCTCTTCCTTTTATGTCTAATATGGATACCAAATTTGGTTCCATCGCATTCGGTTCAGGCGTTTAACCGGAAATGAGAGTACAAACGGACCGACAGGCGGAGATAATCGAGACTTCGTTTAATTCGGATTCTTCGTGCTTCAAAACGTGTATTTCCGTCAAAAAAGTGGGAGGTCATTTTTTACCCAATGCAATACCTACCTCCCGGTATAAAATATGAACAAAATAAAATAAATTTACGGATTTACTTTTGTTTTAAGGACATTCCAAGAAATGATTATGGTATAATCGACTTTTGCAACAGATCGTTGTATTACCTAAAGGAATAGTATATTAAGATACAAGTGTATAATTAAGTCTTTAAAGCACGCGCAACGAGTTTAAGGGCACGACGCAAAGCGGAGTGCCTTTAACGTTGCAAGTGCTTTAAAGACCAATTATACACGTGTATCTTATAGTATTTTTTATTATACCTGCAGTATAATTTAAAAATAGGAATTACAATGAAATCATATTGACGTTGTACTCGAATTCATGTCTAATTAAGTGGGCTGGGTGTTCGTAATTTCACAATTGCCATGGAAATTTCACTTGACGTTTGCTTATAAAAATCATCGTCTTTGTGAATAAAACGAATTCCGTTGAAAAAGATAATACACCGTCCATTAAATCGCTTGTTGTAAAATCTAAACAAACGTTGGTAGGTGGAAAATCTCAATCCAGTAAAGCCTATTATAAAGAATATGAAAAGTTGTTTCCATGGATGAATAGAAAGTTACTTACGAATAAAGTCTTAAATGCATCGATAATGCTGGCATATATGAAGGAAATGTCAAAGGTATTTAAATCTGCTATCTTTTGGTGCATTCATTCAAAACTTCACTTATTGCTGCGACTAAAAAGTGGAACAGATTTGGAAGCATACCCTAAATTACGCGCGTTTGTAAAAGCTTCAACTAAAGGATAGGTACAAGCCAAAGAAATGTTCTGCATTTACAGAAAGCGACTTAGGAAGATTTTTTATTTCGCCCAGATGACAGTTTCAAAAGTCATACTTGAAGTATCGTTACTTAGCAACTTTAAAGCACGTGTGTTTTAAAGGCCTTTTTTCGCACGCATTTGAGTGTTTAAAACGGAGATTGTGATTCAGGTATAATAAAAAGGAATTAGTTCAATGTTCAGTCACATAAAATAAATAAGTTAGTTATTTGGCTTGAAACACTCGCTATTGGCACAAAGTTGCTTTGTTAAATGGTGACATTTAAAAACGGAAACTATAAAATGGTGGTGGCAAGTAAAGTGTTAGGTATATGATTCCAATCCATCCACAGTTAAAAAAATATTTTGCCCACAAGGCTCCTTTAGAATGAGTAGTTTTGGTAAGGATTGAAAGTTAAATCTAGGAAATAGAGAAAATGTAAAAAAAAAGATATAAAATGCACCTATTCTATTTCATACAATTGTTATGACACAGAAAACGAAAATTAGTTTTTCTTAGATTCCAGGTAAGCGACAGAATATTTCTTATCCGGGTCGTATTTGTCTTGAAGCATTTCCCAATACTGTGGCTCATTACCTTCTATGTGCTTCAGTAGTTTCTCGGTTATTTCTTTTTGTTTATCGCTACACTTGCTGCAATCTGTTTGAAGAGCATCGGGAATGTTTTCTGAAATAAAAATAGTTAGTAACAATTGCACCATAACGCATTGTGTGTGAATAGTCCACCAGGAAAATATCTACATCGATGAGTCGAGTTAAGCTTTATCTGGTATGTCAACGATTGTATTCAAGTAATGATTTTTCTTTGAAACCCTTTCTTTAATAGATAATGTTAATGAGACAAAGTTCTACTTGATAGTGATAAGGAATCTTACATAAGGGAGGATAACAGCCTGTTCGAAGGAGTGTACTTAGGGGTTGCTGGATGAGTTTTGCAAGAGCACATACGGAAGATTGTAACATAGGACCATTTTGATCATTTTTTGTCACTTTCTCACATTTTTCCACTAATCCCATCCAGTTTAGGTATAAGAACTATCTCGATATCAATCACCGCACTCTCATAAAATGACGTGAAAGCACTGGGAAAAGGAGTCATATTCGACAAAGAGTAGGTTATGGGTTTGTCTCAGAATTTCCAAAATCTAAATTTTTGTTTTTATATACCTTTTTATTCAACCGAATACGCCACAAAATCGCTTCACTTACAACAATGCACACTTAATAATTTAGTTCACTACAGTTAATTAAAAACGCGAAAATAATTCAGGTTAAACGGCAGGATATCCACACCGACTCGCGGCCACGACTCGACTGTTAACAAATAAATTTTAAATGATGCATTATCGCCTGTAACTGGTTTCTGTATTTAATATATTTGTCGATTTAAGCCGATTACTCACTTTTCTCGATAAAGCTAGATAGAATCATTGATTTAGAAAAAAATTTGCTGTGGCTAGCACAGATACCACCCGCACACCTGCGCATGCGCGATTCTACCCTTTTATGTCTAAGGATATGTGTACCAAAATTGGTTCCAATCCGTTTCCCAGTTTAGCCGGAAATGAGAGTATGATAGACTTACACATAAGCGATTCTCCCCAAACTCAACTCTTCAATTTATGATCTAAGAATATGTATATCAAATTTGGTTTAAATCGGTTCACCCGTTTAGCCAGAAATGAGCGTACAGACAGACAGGCCCATCGACATCATCGAGATTTGTTTGATTCGGATTCCTGGTGCTTAAACCGTGATTGTTATAGTAACACGAAAACACTAAGTATGTACTTCTACCATTGTTTAAATACTTTAACCGTTCTCGTGATAATTGGGCCATTGGTAAAAACGTCTCGTCTAAACCATTCATTTTTTGTTTATATCCTTAACTTAATTTTTGGAAGTAAACCCGATGGTAAATCATTACCTCCTTTGTGGAAAAGTAAAAAAATTGGCTAGTTTGTCATTTTGATCTTTTTTATCACTTCTTTTCCAGATCTTCCTAGCCTAGACGTTTTAGCATCCCTGCTACCATTGCAGCCTTTTCTTTTATCAGGTTTCCTATTGGTCCCTCTACCTCTTATATGTAGATGTTGTCTTCCTCCGTATCCGTTTCGTGTACTGTACTATTTCTTTCTTCAATTGGTTTCTTAATGTCTATAAAGTAGTTTATGATCTGCCTCACTTTCTTCTTATATTTTTTTCCCAAAATTCCTCCCATGAAGCATATACGAGTAACTTATAACGGATTCGAAAAAAACGGAACATTTTTTGCTGTGAGTATCTATAATGTGACGAAGAAAACGGTAGTACTAAAGCATTTTGGCTTTTGCGCTAAAAAACTAAAAAGGAAACGAGGTTGTGAGAACTAATGTGTTCTACCCGCAAGATCAATGCATGCCCACAGATTTGAATCCCTCGTATTAAGAAAAGAATAAGTCACAGATTACCCACTATAATATGATTTTGTTTACTAAATTACGAGCAGGTAAACTGCAACAGCACTCAGTGGTCTGTATTTTAAGTTGCCTACTCTGTATAATGTGGTCTTAGATCATACAATATACCTATATGATCTAAAGAATGTGGTTCTATTTACACTTCGCAATATCTTGTAAGTAAAAGCATTCAATGGTAAAAGCAAAGAGTACTACTCTTTGGTAAAAGCAAAGAGCAAGGAGGAGGCCTTTGGGGAAACTTCCCTACAGCAAATGACCCAGTCCTGATTGTATGTTACATATTTAAACGTCCCCAATAACAACCCACTTTAGATTAAGTACCTAATTTTCCTTTTCACGGCACAAAAAATTGGGGTCGTTGATTTTGAAGCTAAGGATAATGCATGAAAATTTACCAAAATGTGAGTTTTATAATTAGAATAAGTGTACCTTCTCCTAAAAATGTAATTTAAAAATAATATAACTTTGTACAGTAAGGGGAGAAAATAAAGATTATGATTATGATTATGATTATGATAATTGTGAAAAACACATGAAGCGAAAGGATTATTTTCCTTTTTTCACAAGAATTGCGATATTAAATGAATACTTACTTTTCATTTCTTCTCCTTCGGCAGTGCACGGCCCATTATCAGTTACACAGTTGACGTAGTTTTTGAGAAGTCTTGGACTATTAATTATTGTGTCTACCTCAAAATTGTCGTACTTGGTGCTATATTTAGTATCTTCTCCAAAACCATTTTTAATGCAGCTTAACGTCAATAGGAATATTGTTACAGTGAGTACACACATTTTTGCTTGCATACGATAGAACATTATAAAAATAGTCAACCGAAATGTGCACTTATATATGCACATAAATTGAAGATAGGCACGTTATGCTATTTTTCTTAATGAAAATTGAGCAAATTGCATTTCCTATCTTTTATAATAATTTTTAAATTTGATAGTATCACGAAGGGAATTAACCAAGAATGTGTGTATATTATAGAAGGAATGGTTGTTGTTCAATTTTTATACTAAGTGACATTGAAATTACCACACTAAGGAAGAGTTCGAATTTGATTTTCAATCGTGGCCGAAACGTTTGATTACAATTTCATTAAAATAATCAAAAGGTTAAACTGGCCAGTATCGATTTGGTTTTTAGGTAGTGTATACCAAGCAAATTCATGTCGAAATTCCTCCAAATTCATAATTTTACGCAAATAACCAATTGCTAAATTGTAAGCTTTTGTATTTTTAGGACTAAGGGTTACTGTTACATGCACATGGTGGTTTAATTTTCTGGAAGTGAGAAAGCAGTAAGTTCGCTTCTTTTACCTTCGGAACTAATTTAAATTCGAAGGTTTCTAGGTGATTTATCACTTCGTGAATATGTTTAGCTTCGACTTTAGAAGAAGGTAAATGAAATTCCTCTTTAGTGGTGTCAGTCAAGTGGATGAATCTATTAGTAACCAACATATTTTTAATGTTTTTTTTAAAGATGCGATACATCTACAAATTTAGACTGAAGTGATAAGAACCGCATTATTTTTCAGTTTTCGTTTTCCATCCCACTCTCGTTTTCTCCCACACGTCGGGTTCTTAATGTGTCTAAAATGCAACATGGTAGAGATATGAATAAGTACGAATTTAATTTTACTTACTTCACAAAGGAATGTGATACTGGTAGGTGTCTAGTTTTCCTTTCTAACTTTAGCAACCCATTGCTTTATTCTTTGAGGGTCCCTAGAAAATACTTTCATAAGGTATCCTTGCTCGCTTCTGTTAGAACGCCCAGTAACGCAGCATCCAACCATTATAGCCACTACAAAAAAGGTACTCATTTATGAACTGTTTTGTTGCACAAATTATGCGCAAGTGTAACGTTTAATTGCCTACAACAAATTGTGTAGTTTCAATCAGTTAATTACTTAATATTCAATGTTTAGCTGTAATTCGTAAATTAAAAAATGCGCTAAAGATATGGTGCTTATGAGATTTTAGTCTATCATAAGTCTAGCATAAAAGGTGTGCACTTTAACAGTCTGTAATAAAAATAATCGCTGCTATAAAAAAAATATATGTCCCCTGACCTGACCACAGATTTAAAGTAGGTATACGTAGATTCATAGTAAACTGTTCATAATTTTTGATACCATAAAAAAGATTCTTCAGAAAAATGTTGTTTTGAAGTAATATTCAATGCTCCAGACAACATTTTCAACCTGTATAGATCTTTGTAAATATCCATTTCATCAAAAAAGTTCAAATGATAGTTATTTACATAAAAGTCAGGAAAATGACACATTACTGGCAAGGAAACACTGAAGTGCGAGGCCCCTTTGGGGCCGAGTACTTTAATTTCCGAGTGACGGTGCGGTCAGTAAACTGACAAGCGGTAGGATAACGCAGTCTGCTCTGGCCTCTGTTATGGAAACTAAAATTTTCTGACAGAAAGTAGGCATGAAAATGAAGGTTTCAGGACGATTTTCCTTACGAATCTCGCTTCCTTTCTTTCTTTCTCCCTTTCTTTCTTTCTCTACCTTCTCCTTTCTCAAAATATAGAAACTTGCTTATCGAATTTGAACGCATTCTTTAAGATATATAAAAGTACCGCTTTATACAACATTCCAATCAAAATTGAAACAAAAGCGCGCTTTGTACATCTGTCTGTCCGTCCAACATAGGGCAGGTTTTCAAGAGCTATAGCTCATCTAGGTGTCTAGCGAAATCTTATAATATCAGGAAGTAACCCATCCCTTTTATAACGTGCTACTATCCATAGTGCACTATGAGAAGCATGGGAAGGGAGGATAGGTGGAAAGTTCCATTATTCTTTCAATTTTCATCGGGACATCCATAGTTGCGGCACGTAATTTCTAAAAAATGAATTGTACCTAACTATAATAACCAGATGATATCGTTAGCAACACGTCTAAATTTTGATGCCCAAAGAGAATTTTATAGAGGAGATGGCCAGATGTTACGTAGTAATTAAGATCCCTTTATTAGGAAAGTACCACGGAGAGTACTTAAATATTGTTTTTTTTAAACTCATCATGAACTTTTACCATAAATAATTTTTAAAATTTAGTTGACATTTTCTGCATTGCATTATATCGGCCAAATGTGATCTGGGGTAATTTTTTGTATATAAATATTGCTGGGATATCATGTATGACTTCAATTTGTGCAATTGTTTTTTGTTAATGAGAAAGATGCCATGGATGATTCGTTTTTGTTGTTATTCGGCCACGCAATATTTTACCCCAAGAAAACTCGCTCCCAGGTAAATTCGCTCCTGGAAGATCCGCCGCCAAAATATTCGCTCAGAAAAATTAACTCCTTGGAAATTTTGGCCATGTAGGATTCGCTCCTTCATCCGGAACTTGCTACAAGGAAAATTCACGTTCAAGAAAGTTCGACCCCAACGGAATAAAGGTCACTTTTTATGCTAGTTGCACTATTTTGTAATATATGTGCTTATAACTAGTGCTATATGCCTTTCAGTTGTAGGAAGATTCGCTGAAAAGTAAAGATAAAAGTTCTTTGCTAATGTTTACCAGTGATATAATTTTTAATTACCATTTGCGGATAAGATTTCATCGCAAAATTCCCCTCCTGGAAATAGTATGCGAATCTTCATATCTTGTTAATTGATACAATGTAGGTGTTCATTATACCTAAATACCACAAGTTTGTGAACTGGTTATAAATGTTTGCGGATATAAATCTCAAAATATTTAAATAAGTAGTACCTACGATATCAAAACCATTGTCAAGGAAGTGTATCAATTGTAAAAATTCACTCTTAAGTTTTATTTTAGTTATCTAAAAATTATTCGCATTTCCAGAACACAGGATTTTGTATTAACTGACAATGTGCGACAGAAATTGGCAACAACTACGCCAAGCATAATTAATGTGTCACTAATCTTAAACGGATACCTGTATTTTTATTGCTAACGATGTTAAAAACTTCAACCTTAATTTTAAATCATTATCATGATCAAGGGGCTCCAGTATAATCTAGAAATTTTGTTTATGTTCAGATTTCATCAACTGAGTACTTACATTCCTTATTAACATTAACAATTAATTGATATCCCAAAAGGGTACAAGATAGGTACAATAATATCACAAAAACTGCATTTTCTTACTTTACAGTGTCCTTAGAGGCTTAGATTGTGTGTAATAAGCAAAGAGTATATAACGACGTTATATACTCTTTGGAGTATATAACGACGTTATATACTCTTTGGTAATAGTTATTTGTACTACTTTTGAAAGGGACACTTTTTTCAGGAATTTGCAGTTTGATTAATGAGTGCGAAGACCAAGTTAATCAAGCATAGTTATATGAAAAGTGATACTTTCAACACGTGTTGTACACGAAATTTTTTTGCATAGTGATCCTTAATAATTCCCATAATTGAATACTATCACTGACATTCGCGATTTTTGCTATTGTTCATATAGACAGAACTAAACGCCATGGAAAATTGGAAACGCATAGTAAAATAGTAGTTGATAACTATATGCAAAACAATTTATTATGATTGATAAACTTAAAGATTAAAATTAGATTTTTTTTCAAGTCATGGAAATCAACCACTCTCCCTTGCAAATCACTTCACTCAAGGTTCAATAAAGAGAACAAATTTTCTAACACCTGGCATGGGAATGGATTCATTAGGAATACTTGGAAACATTTCAGTTTCTTCTTAAATAATCAACTAAATTTCGAATTCTAAAGTGAATAACATTTACCTTCTCTAATAACCTCGGTAATTATGTACCTGTAGAAATTTGTAACATCGGCAGGAAATTACAATAACCCATTATTTCTATCAAATACATGAAAAGTGCACAAACAATTATACTGCACAACAAACACACTTACGTATATCATTTCAAAGTGCAATTAACAAATTTCTAATGCCAAGGTCGCGTTAAGAAAATGCTTTTGCAATGCCCGTTTTGTGGATCATCTGGAAGCTATATACGAGTGCGTTGGATAGCAAGTGGTTTATTATCCCCAAACCAAATTTTCGTTTCTTTGAAGAAACAGTCAAAAGTATTGCCTCTACGGCCGCCAACCTTACCTACATGGATTTGCTCTGGAATTGGAATTGTGCTTCATGACGTAGATACCAAGAAAATAACCCTCTGGGTTCAAGGACCACAGGAGCTGCCTTATTGAAATGTGTTGGTTACCAATTAGGTACCATTTCATCGTTCGAATGAATTTATTCACTTTTGTTCAGTTAGTTCATTTAAATGAGAACGGAGGTTATGCAAATTGCAAACAACAAATTTGGATGTAGTTCCAGTGACAATGCAATAAAAGGTCAATAAGATTTCAACCTTGTCCCAATTGCATTCAGATATAGCTAGACCAATTGTGTATATATATATATAGTAAGTTGCAATAGCTAAAAGTAAACATTGGTTGGCCTAACGTATTACGTATATACCGAGCGTAAGTCAATTCTGCGAAATTGGAAAGATATTACGGATGTCCTCACAGAATGATGTATTTTTCCAGGTATTGGTATCTGTCGTGACGTATATGTTTATACGCCGTGTCGCTCCAATTAATTAAAATTTGACCATTTATCCAAACAAGCATTAAATCGGAATTAATTTGCCTTGACTAAACCGCGTCCAGAAAATAAATTGCGGTAAATTGAAGGAGGCTTTTATAATTAATAGATATACTTTTTTTAACGCTTTGTTACACCTACTCGCACCACCGTGAAGGTAAAAATTATATTCTTATTCGTCTTGAAACAAGTTTTGTAACTGAATTTCCTTCAGTTGCTTACAACTTTCTTCACCTCACAATTAATAAAGATGTGATTTTTTCCATGAAACCAAAGTCCGTTACACAACGGTTAGTAGGCCTAGGTTCTTGAAGGGTAAGCCTGATTTATATTGATCTGTGGTTTTCCATAAGGTAGTTAAATTTAAACCGCTTATTTTTACTGCTGGTAATACGCACTACCTACCTTTTCGTAACATGTTTGCCATTTGCATGACTGTTTAAATAAAAAAATTTAATTCATCTTGCGTTTCATTGCTCCTCACGGTTGTAGAAAAATTGTTGCACTAATGCACATAATTATATATTTACATATTTTAAGAAAATGAAATTCTGAATAAAAAACCTAACCACCAGTAAATTGAAATTAACAATCAATTGAAGTCTTTAAGATTATTACAACCAACATATTTTCATCTAGTTGGTATCGGCCACCTGCCTTTTCTGCATGGCGACAATTTTAATAGCATATGCTAAAGCGGGGGCTGCTTGAACATCTCTTTGAAACACGAATAGCCGTTTTCTAGTTTGACTAGTTTTGGTATATGCACTGTACCGACCTAATTAATAGACAGCCATGTCAGGTTATTTCAAATTTAAAAATCACATGCCTTTTATGAAAAAAAATTTTTTTACCTGTTTAAGTAGCCCCGTAGGTATATGGGGTTTCCTTGGTAACATTTTGCCTTTCGAAGTGCAGCAATGTGTTGTGCTTATTGTTGCACGCAGTGCACGTGCCACGACGGCACATCTTACTGGTATGTCCTTTCTTTAAACAATTAAGCATAATCTAGCCTGGCGAGCTTTCTCAATACATTTCTCAAACGACAATTGATAATTCTCAACCGAACATTACTGACCAAACGAACATTGTAAGCATTCACCAGTTTTCAATGTATTGACCTTTCGTACAGATATCACACCTATACGGGTATACTTAGGGAGAGAAATTAAATTCCTAAATCCCTATCTACTAATTTCAACTATTGCTGTCCCCGCAT